AGGTCTGGTGCCGGTAACACATGCATTCATTTGGATTCAGTATCTTGCTCAAGGACACTTCGACATGCAGTGGGAGGACTGAACCGCCAACCTTACGATTAGTGGACCACCACTACTCTACCTCTGAGCCACAGACGCCCCCTGGAATGTGTGCATGTAGAGAGCAGGAGACAGCCTCAGTTCCTCTAGCTTCTGTAGGTCAATGCAATCTCTCATTCAGCATTTATTTCACCTGCCTCTCTACAAAAGGATGTTTTTTTGTTCTTGGGGTTTATTTTCCTATTTGAAAGTGAAACCAAAACGATGTTCAACAATGAGAACAGAAAAAATGCTTTCAAGAAAAAATTACAGGCACAGAAGCATTATTTATCAGACAGTACCACTGATTAGTTGTCAGAAGATGAATTGCTTTTGTAGTCTTATCAGTATACGTGTGAAAGCACCTCTTGCATAATCAATGAGAAACTTATTACAAAGCTAAACAAAATCAGCTAGCAACTCTTTCCTTTTCTTTTACCTCTAGGTTGGTTTTCTAGTTTGTTTGTTGAGAGTCACAATTTTGAATGCCTCCTTCCTCCCCTCCTCCTGTAATTTCGGCACAAAATTATTCCATAAATTCCCTAGAATGCAGGTTCCATAATGCCCATATGTAGCCCAGCATAACCCTGGCTGGAGTATAGCCTAGTACACTGAACCAAATAGTTCTTGATTTGTTTCAACACTGAAAAGCTATTGTCTGTGTGTATCCTGATTGATTCAGTGTCTGCATTTCTGTATTATAGTAAGCTCTGCATTGAGAAAAACTATTTTTGGGAGTCAAACTAAAGGTTCCTGGGGTCCTACGCTTAACCCACTCAACCACATCATCCTCCTATTGAGAAGAACTTTTTCACTTCTTATACTACACATCTATACTAAATAGTTTTCGCCAGAAAGCGCTTTCTGGCGTTGATTTTTTAACTGCATTTTAGCTGGTTGAAAAGAGGTCTTATCACAATATCACACAGTTTTCAACTAGAATTTAATGTTAAAATCCTGGTAAGTGCTCACTGGGTATGTCAAAGTTGTGGGAGATGGCAATCTAGGACAATTATGTAGAGTGACAGCTCAAATCAGAGACAATTGAAGCCATGGATTAAATCAACAAAATGTCTGGAATCAAAGTTGGTAATACAGTATGCAAAATGTGTTTTGTTAGCATGTGCTGTAGAGATAATGTATTTGGCCTAACATAAAGATAAAAAGGTCTTTGAGATGTAGGGAATTGTATAGAGGGACAAGTGGCATATACAGTAATTACAGTAAGTGCTGTGTAGCATATAAAATGTTGTAAAAAAAACATATTCTACTCTACTTACCATCTCTTCTGTTGAGCTTGGCGTTGTGAGCAGCGTAACTGTTGGAGGACTGTGAAGAGCTCTGGAAGGATGATTCTGGTAATATGGATACCAAAGGACTGTTGCAATTATCTATGGAAGAAAATGACAGCAACTATGTAACTGAAAGTTGGATTTAAGTGAAGCTCAAATATCCAGCAGTAGGAACAAGAAGAAACAGGTTTTTAAAAAATGTCTGACAGCAGAAAATAATTTCTCAACATTTTTTATCGCAAATGTAGAGCAGGAGTGGACAAATTGTGGACCGTGTCACCAGTCTGGCCCTTCAAACCAACTATCAGTTTCATCTCTAATCTCATAGGGCAACACAGAACAGATGTTCACATATATGAATCATTCTGTTGCCAAATTAGTATTAACATGCTCTAACCCTGTTTGTCTTCAAAACAGAAAATGGTGTCTGCTGTTGGATACATTTTTTTTAATTAAAAGAAATAAACAAACCATATAGATAGATAGATCGATAGATAGATAGATATATAGATACTTTATTTATCCTGAGGGAAATTCAAGCATCCAGTAGCATACAGAATACAAAACATACATTAAACATACATTAAACTAAAATTAAAAACCCTGACCAAGATATAAAGTATTATGTATGTGTATAATATATAAAATTAACAGTAGCTACAGTAAACATTGCAAACAGTAAACAGTGCAAATGGATGTGCAAATACATCTCTCTGCACAAACAAGAATAATGTGATACAGAAAACCATTCGTTTAAATTAAACATGTTAAAGTGCTCAGTGTTTTTATGTTTGTGAGGAGCCATTCCAATGGGAAATGATTAATGTAAGGCTTATTACCCTGACCTCAGTACCGTTCATTATATTAAAGCGGTCTACAGCGCCCCCTAGAGTCTACTATAGAAGCAACACTGGACCAAAAAATGAAGCCCGGAGCCAGGCGGGTCTGTGTCTGTTCAGTTACACAACTGGGTGTGGGTGACATTAATTAGTTTGCATGATAGATTTACAATGGCCGGTTCATCTGCGAAGCATCAGAAAGTTCATGATATTTTTGGACAGTTTCCGAAATCAAATAATTGGGCCACAGCATCCTGCTTTCACAGCAGACTGCTGTGTGTGGGATAAACTCTTTCTCTTATCCGACAGGTTCACAGTTGTTATAACCCACTGAGGGGTCGGTGACCTGCGGGTACTTAAGATTATGAACCCTGGAAGTTTAATTTTGGACTGAAAAGAGCAAACTTCTGCTTTTTCTCCGCAAATGGCTGCTGCACAACCGAGAGACACAGAGCACATTTCACCCCGAATACTGACTAACAGGCAAACAGTAAACAGTTTGTATGCATGTTACACTTGTTCATGGACTCAACTCTCTTTAATAAATACATCTGTCAGACTTTGATTTCACTACCGGGACTGCTCAGAAGGTTAGAAATTATTTACCAGTGTCATTTAAAATGCTGTAATCATTTTGGATTAGACATGCAACAAAATCCAATATGCTACAAAATAGGCATTAAAAAAAGAAATCACGTATATCATCTTATATATGTATTACTTTCCTACATATAGAGGACTACAGTGTTATTAATTCGACCGAATTTATTGCTGGATTGATATATAGGCTTATCTATTTGTGATTGATTTATTAATCTATTTATTTTAATATCAACCAGTGAAATATCTAGTAATTAGGTTTGTATATTGGAATAATTAATTAGTAAAATAATTCAGTAAAATCATTCCTGTTTTTATTGTTCAATTAACGAAATGTCTTTACACATCCAGTTGAGCAAAACGGATTGGACTGAATATCAGCAGAATAAATATAATAAATGAAAAAGGACTTTGTATCTTTCATTGCCTGTGCCTACTGGAGACAACAACACTGAACATGTGCACACACACACACGTGTCGTGAGTTTGAATTTCATACAAACAGAAGTAGATTTTAGTAGAACTGATCATTTTAGATGGAAAGCAGGAGAGCGTGTGTCAATGTGGGGTTATTCTCAGACATTTTCAATACTAAAAACACACCCACACATTTGAAATATGTCTAAAAGCAACCGAATAAAAGGAAAATGGAAAGGCAGGCACCCAACTCCCCCTTCTCCTGCCGAGCAGCTGAATCTCCCTTCAAGTCAACCTCGGGGGCAAAGCACACCTCCTCTTCCTCCACGTCATTTGTGCGCGACGGGCCTCGGTGTACAGTTGTTACATGGTGGTGCAGCTCTGCAGACACAAGCTGGGACTGTGTGAGTGTGTGAGCAGCAGTGTACGGGCCTGAACGCCGCGGGTCGGGGTCTCTGTGCTGCAGAGCGCCGCTGTTCGCAGGAGCTGTTCCTCTGCGACCGACGACCGCTGCTCGTCTACAGCTAACAGGCTAATGTTAGCCACCAGGCCCCTGCCGACATTGTTTCTGTTCAACAGCGAAGGAGACAAATGTGATTGGTGACACTTCCGTCGTTGCTCCGACATATCCCGGGGACAAAACTCGTACAAAAAAACCCAAAGCATTAACCCGGGTTCTTTAGAAATATTGGTTTGTTTTTGGCAGCGCACTAAACGTTAGCATCGCCTGTGGTCGTGAGCTGACTGCATTAAGATAATGACTTCCAGGAGGACAGGCTATGCTGGTAGCATGGATTCCTCTCAGTCCAACAGCGGCCCGGTCCACAGCGGAAACCGTAAACAAAGTATCATCAACATCCCCGACAGGACCGGGATAGAGTCCTGCTTTGATCGCAAAGCGGACAAGGCTGGATACGGAGCCTCGCAGGGCGGCATGACCGTAACGTCGCTCAAATCCCGCCTCGCCCCGACCATTCAGACTGCCATGTCCGCCGCAGTCGACACTCTGCTGGGCGAAGTGGTGCTTGTGCTCAACGAGACTCAGCAAGAGTTGCTGCACAAGGAGCAAGAGAATGAGAGACTCAAAGTGCGTCTGGAGGTGTCCGAGAGGGAGCTGAAGACTCTCCAGGAGTGTCTGTGCAGCGCTCAGAAGCTCATAGATCAGCTGCAGATCTCCTACACGGGCTCTCAGTCCATTAGCCAGTCAGTGTTCGCCCCATCGCTGTCTTCCATGGCTTCGATGACCTCAGGCCTGGACAGGGACCACCAGAATTCCCGAAATGTGAATGGAGCCGGTGTTGACTTGGGTCTTGGAGGCTCTGTGGATGATTCGCTTCATGGGTTCGAGCCAAGAGATGACTACAAAATGTGCCAGCTTTCAATCCAACCAGATGGCTCTGTGACTAACCACGCTCTAGACTTTGCATCCAACACACCTCACATGTGCTCCGATTCCAGCAGACAGGGTAAATACACCGTGTGTGTGTGATGTACTGTATATTATATGGGCCGTTGTGGTCGCTGTGAGTCATATCAATCAGTAACTTGTGTTTTAGTGTAGTAATGCTGACACATTAACCATCTTTGTGCGTCTTTAGATGAGAGGCAGTCTCAGGGGCCAGGTGGAGCGTCCAGGTTTGAGATCAAAGAGGAGCAGGGACCAGCCTCGGGCTCTGGTCAGGCCAGCAGGAAGGAGCCTGGGTTGCGTAACGACAACAGAGTCGGGGATGGCGAGCGGTCGTCCCACAACGTTGGCGACCTTGGCTACGTTCAAGTTGGAGGGGAAGGAGGCTCTCAGCGTTCCTTTACCCAAGCTCTGCGTCCCCAAAGACCTGTGCGAGACTGCGGTGGTGCGCTGCAGCAGGGCGGACTTGACGGACAGAAACAGTTGGGTAGGACTTCTGGAGCCGGGAGAGGAGACAGTGTTTCACCCGGCAGAGCGGAGGACTCGGCAGGACCTTCGGCCCCTGACACAGCAGGGGACCCCTCTGGAGATCGGCCTCACCACTGCTTGGAGTGTGGGAAGACTTTCCGTCTGATCTCCAGCCTGAAGAAGCACATCCGCATCCACACTGGAGAGAAGCCCTACCCGTGTGGGGTCTGCGGCCGCCGCTTCCGCGAGTCGGGGGCGCTCAAGACCCACCTGCGCATACACACAGGCGAGAAGCCGTACTCTTGCTCTGAGTGTGGGAACTGCTTCCGCCACTTGGACGGTTTGCGCAAGCACAGGCGCACGCACACGGGGGAGAAACCCTACGTGTGCGCCATCTGCGGGAAGCGCCTGAGCCGCCTGCAGCACCTCAAACACCACCAGCTCATCCACACCGGAGAGCGGCCGTGCTGCTGCCCCTTCTGCAACCGCAGTTTCAAGGAGCCCGCAGCGCTGCGGAAACACATCCGCACGCACCGGGAGGAAGGCGGTCACATGGGAATCGGTGCCAGCGATGACACGGACCCAGACGCCATGGATGACATTAACAATCTCCATCCAGCAGCTCCGTCCCCTCAGATGAGGTTCGGGGAGTGGGGAGCTGAGGAGGACGACAGCTCGGTCGTGGACTGTGTGTAGAGGACGATTAAAGGAGCGACCGTCTGTGGGCGTTCTGACCGTGGAACTCACTCCAGGTGGAAAACATGGAAGAAGTTTGTGTGTAGTTAAACACGATGGCTAAAGTCATCTCTGTTCCATGCTGTTAAAAGTGAAGGCTACATATAACCTTAGCCTTAGAGCTTCACTTACATCTGACATTTTCACATCTCACACTCTTTAGATGTAAAAAAAAAAAACCAAACATTTAAATTATATCCTCTGTACATTCTTCAACAGGAAGTTGGTTTTTATTTTCTGGACATTCCTGCAGCAGCAGCAGCAGCAGACAGGTTGTTCTTTGCACAGAGAGTTGCTGCTTTGCCAACTGTCAGGCAACAAATTGGTAAACTGATGGCAGAAGTGGTCAAGAGCTGTTTTCCCCACTTAAGAAATATAAGTGCCTTGAACACTCACTCAGCCATCAACTGAGCCGCTGCTGCTGCTGCTGCTGTTCAAGACGGTTCCCACCTGGATTTTTAGTTTTGTTTCTTATAGTTTCACACTTTAGACGGAGGTTGAGTTTGCTGTTGGTTGTCTTCAGTTTCTAATTGGGCGTGCTTTTGCCAACACACTGAGCTGCTTGAATAAATATAAATGGAATGGATCCATAGGGCTGGTTCATGCTTCATGTGCGTGCAGGAGTAAAGACGATGTACATTATGTAGCATTATTAACTAAACCAAGTATTACAGTATTTCTGGTTAATTTTTCTGATCATGATAAGTGAATAGGAGTGTTGCACTCTGCTGGTGCAGTCGATTAAATAGTATAAAAAAAAAATGGATCTTTTTCACTTTAATGCATCCTTTAGGAGCAGGACTATAACATATTGACATTATGTACCTAAATCTTGACAATATCTGTCTCCTGTTATGATATCAGTCTCCCAGCTCTACCTCGGTATTCATCCTAGCTGTGTCGCTGGTCTTATTTGTTCTGCTAATCCTGTATGGAGATGTGGAGTTGCAGCACTGTTTAGTATGATTCACCTTTTTAATGATGCATAATAGGGCAGTCATAAAGTAAGTATCTCTTTACTTATAGTCTTCTGGTTTCTTCACATAAACAGTTATGGTGAGTTATGGTCTTTTTTCCAGTAACGGTCCTGCTACAAGTGGATGCAGTATTATTAGAAAATCTGGTGCTCATAAAGGACCAAAGGACATTCGCAAATATAATTTTTAAACCGCAGGTGTCACAACTATTCTCAAGTAATAATTAACCGAAGAAAATACCATTTAAAAAAACACTAATTGAGCAAAAAATCGAATTCCTAGTCGACATAACTGGACAGTTGAGTCATGGAATTTAAGAGGGTGGCTTTGCCTTGCAGTCTGCCCTAACGAGGTCGTTTGTAAGCTAAAGAGCTAAATCATCACTTTGACTAGATGTACGCTGTCGTGTGTGTCTTCATGAAGCATGAAGCAGTTCTGCTCTTCAGTCGACATTCTGAAGCCCTGCCCTACTGTCTTATCTCTCTTCATCTCTCCCTGCAGAGCCCTCATCAGTTACACAACCGTAATGTTGTCAGTCGAGCGGAAGTTATCTGAGCAAAGAGTGTGATATCTGATCATACAGGAAACACAAACAGTTGGCATCAGCATCCCACATCAACCGCTTACACCCTGTTTTACTGTTTCTCATCCCTCTCTCTCTCTCATTCTCTCTCTGATGGACCATACCTTAGCATTCCGTATTTTGTTCAAGCTGCTACTGTACGTCTAGAAAGCCTTTCCTTTTCTGGACTTGTGTTCTTGTTACCAGCCAGTTACTAGCAATTACTAGCAGACAGATTTTGGTGCTTGCATGTGCATATCTGTTCCTCTGCTGGCAACGATGCCTCCCGGCTGCTTCTGTAAATAAGAATGTAGTTTTTAGCCATTTTATCCGGTTGAATGAGGGTTAACATTCGTGGAAAACTTAAAGTGCAACAATGACTTTTTTTAATTCTTTTTTTTTAACGACGTAACGTGCTTTGAAAACGTCAGTATGCTAACATTCAGTGTAAATACATATAATCTTGATAAATTTCTTCCTGATGCTCGGATGTGACACGACTGATGCATCAGGGTTAACTGCAGAGCATTAATCTTCTCAGCCATTTGAGCTATACTGTAGGTCTCTGGTGTCATTTACCATGTATACTATGATGGTCTCCATGATTCTATGTACATTTAAGTGTAAGTCATTTTAAAAAGGCACACAAAATGTTAAATACCTGTATACTCAAGAAAAACCATTTGCCAAGGTAGTCTCCACCCCAGATAATCATATTTATTGTTTTTTGTATTGCATACAGGGAGGCCTTTGCATGTAGGTTTAAACTTAAATGGCATTCTTCCTTAAAGTCAGTGTTGAACGTGAAATGATACTTCTTTTTTTATGCTTCTGTGTTCAGAATATATTCCCCCACACCACATTCATCCTGTTACCTACTGTAAATGTTACTATATTAAAGGGCCTTGTTTATACTTCTTTTCTCTCTGTGGCTGTTTATTCGATGTATGAAATTAAGAATGCTCCTTAAATTATGACCACAGTAAAACTATTAACTGGATCAATCAGTATGGCAATTTGCCTTATCATCCCAGCATTGTTGCTCCTGTTGCAGTCAGGTCATTGCGTTGTATCACGGCAGGAAAACCACATTAACCCCGGAGGTAAGTTTTGACACTGAGTGAAAGGTTGCCAAACGGATTGTGTAGGTGCTGAGGACACGCCCAAAGACGGCTCCAAAATAACACCTTGCCCCTCTGCCAATGCTGAATAATGATAGCTGTGTTCATACACACAAACCAGCTATTTGAGGTGGCCTTTGGTATGATGACTGAAGCTTAATAAGTTAGATGTAACTGAAAGACATGGACATAGCTGCATTTTATCCATAATATCGATAATGTTTGTGTCATACTTCAGGGTTGCTGATACATTAAATTATATTGTTTTCTTTTAATTCCAAAATGTACATGTATTTTACATTTGATGGTTTAATGAAATAATGAGTTCATGGCACTGTGCAGGATCAGTGACCTGATTATATCACTGTAAGGTCATCAGGGTTCAAATCAAAGTGGTTTCACAGCTCCTATGTGTTGGTTCATGATCTGTACGTAATGCTGTTCTCTTATTAGGATTCTGTCACATTGTAAGCATTCATTCACAGTGAGCACAATAAGTCTTTATCACCTCTGTACGATGGTGGTATCACTGATTTGTAATAAGCTTTAAATGGCGCCACAATTGTTTGTTCTATGCTCAACATCAATGAAGTCTGACATGTAATTTGTTTTGTCACTGATTAAATCATAAGTGGTTTGCAAATAAATGATCAAACAATCTGACACAAGAGAAAAATGTATCTGTCACTGTGACTTAAAAGCAGAATCAGGCCTGATATGACTCTGGATAATTAGTAGAAAGTCAGCTCATGACCCCTTATTATTAATGGCTGCATATTTCTGTGAGCTGTGAGCACTTGAAGCAAAGAGTGATTTTTTTTCCCCTTCTCAAACTGTTTATTTTGAATAATTTAAGAATCCCGAAGAGGTGAAAGGATCCAGTGTTTCACAAGAAATGGGCAAAAATAAATGTAGAAAAACGACAGAAAAACTTTTTTTCTTAACTTGTTGATCATCTTGCAACCCCCGTGAGATGAGTCAGAGACGGATATGTGGGTGAACAGATGTGAACAGCTTACTTTGGTGGCAGAACAACTAAATAGAAAAAAATACACTGCGTAACTAATTTTCTTTGCACAATGAAAAAGAAAACTGTAGTTTAACTTGTTTTGTTTTCTACAAAGTTAAACCTAAATCTGTCTGATCTAAAAATGACTATGGATTTTACTCTTTTCATTGAAGCTGAATGAAGTTAATCTAAAGGCTCACTCGGGAGGATGCAAACTTGTCCCAACAAAACAGACCACAAATGGGAGTTAAGGCATCAAGTTGAAGCAAGTGCTGTGGAGGAACCTAAACACAATATTTCTCTGAATGCATCAGTGGAAGTTCACACGGTGCCAAGCTTCTGATTAATGAAAGACGACACGGCAGAGCACCTCGGAGGTTGGAGAGAGAGAGATTGAGAGGGGAAAGGAAATCTCACAGAAAACGCTACTGAAAAATACTGTAAACTGGGTCCCAGGATAAAATCTAAATATTGCACACTTTTGAACTGCAGTATCCGATGGCTATGATACACGTTTATTGACATGTTTCTGAATAAACTCATGTACAAGATGAGTAGAAATTGCATCTTCATCTTCGAATAAACAGTGGCAGAAATTAGTCTATTACTCTACACTTCTATAGCACTGACAGAGGCCATTCTGCTGCATTACCTTTAACACTTTGAGTACATTTCGCCGATCAAACTTTGAATGCAGGTGTTTTACTTAAAGTGGAATATTTTTACATTGTGGTATTGATACTTTAACTGAAGTAAAGGATCTAAATACCTCCACTACCATCTTCAGAAAGCTCCTTCTCTCTGTTAGCAGCTGGTTTTATCTAATACAGTTGTTAATTTCTGTTTGTCATTACTGCAGATAATTAACACTGAGGTTTCAGTTTTCAGAGGGGAAGTAATTACATTGTTCTAATAATAATACTCAGGGGGGGGGTTATGTGTGACCTACAATGTATTTGCATTCTGTGTGTGTGTATGTGTGTGTGTGCGTGTGTGTGTGTGTCTTGGCAGCCGATGATGCAGTGATGGTGGGTAGCAGAGAGAAATGTGAGAATGGCCTGTGAACTCTCTGTAGGCCCATGCAGTCATTTCCTCAGACTAAAGGTAAACACTCTCACTTTTTGGAGAGGAAGTGACTCAACTCCGTCTCCTTTCCCTCCCTCCCTCCCTCCCTCCCTCCCTTTGTCTCTTGCTCACATTCACCCCTTACCCATGTGACCCCAAACGCTGACTGGCCCCCAGTGATCCTTACAGTGATGCACCGTCACATTTTTCCGTGGTTTATCAGCATGCTGACCCTGGAAAGTGACATGTTTTCCCTTTATTCTAACTGGACGATTGTAATTACTAACTACTCTAAATAAGGATTTACATGCAAAACACATGCCTCAACCAACAGTGTGTGTAGAGTATTAACATCACTACAACAATAAAACGTTTATTAGGCTTTTTTCACAGTTTTTTTCAGAATTAAAGCCTTTACTTTTAAATTATGTGTAAGTTTAAGTGCTTCTAACCTTTTTTTTAGGTAAAAGTTGAGTTGAGAACTTTTTGTTTAAACGTGATATTTTTCTTTTTCTTGAAGTGACTCACGACATGACTATTAGTAGGAAAATAATCTTTGGTTGAAAAGGTCAAACAAAAACTTGCCTTGCTGAATCTACAGGTTGTACGTTAGAGTGTGAGGTTTGCGGCAGATAAACTGATATGACGTGTGATAGCAGATAAATTGAATACATGATACATACCGAATAGATAAATATTGATATTCAGCTATCATGAGACAAAACCTACGTTTACTGAGCTGCATCCCTGAGAACTCCTGATACTGACCTCAGTCTGACCCCGATGACCCACATCAGAAAGTGTCCACACATTCATGAGTCTGGAACTTGGAAGACTATTGATAAAGCCACTGGATGTTGGATATCAACAGTCTGAACAAACAGGTATGATATTAAACAGAGACAATGCAAAGGATAGTTATTAATAAAGAGTTGTTGCTGTTCCATTCTCATATCAGTACTTTCAGAAACTCTAACCAAACACAAAGGTATACACAGCTATATATTATGTCAGTGTGTGTTTTTTTTATTCCCAGAGTGGCACACACAGCTGTGCAGCTATGATTTGCAGAGTGGGGGTCTGTGCGGGGGTGTGAGGAGGAGAAATAACCAACAAGGAAACCACTTTCAGCTTTGCTCCTGCACCGCCTGGGCTGGCCCGGAGCCAGGTTTCTCCAGAGAGAGAGAGAGAGAGAGAGAGAGAGGGTTGGCTCACCCCTTCTCCTCTCTCCTCCCTCTCCTCCCTTCTTTCTCTCCCAAACCCACATACGCACTCTCTCCAACTCTCCAAAGCAACAGGCGAGAAGAAGGAAGAGCGACAAGAAGCGAGGGCAACTTTTTGTGTGTGTGTGTGTGTTTGTGTGTGTGTGAAACAACAGCGACGAGGGCTACAATTAACTTCTAAAGATGTCAAACGTGTCGTTTTTGCAGACGGATCACTCGGGTACGCGAGGGAAGTGATTCTTTCCCACCTCAGGAGAAAACAGGAGGGAGGACGCGCTTTCTCTCCCCCCTCTCACCACCTCCTCTCCAACACCGTATGAGACGTCAAAAGTCTGCCTTGGTTCGCAAAGAAGTCGCCTTTGAGCTGGAAGCCCCCTCATTTTGTGTTTTAATGTCCCCGGGTCTCTGTGGAGGGCAGTGAAGGATGCCAGTATGCCCTCTCTGATCTCCCATCTGCTTGTCATCTGGCTGAGCGTCCACAGGCTGGTGTGGTGCACGGAGCGCTCCTCCACACGGGAGCGCTTCAAGGTGGTCATCGCTCCTCTCATCTGCAAGCGGATCTGCCTGAAGGGACAGTGTCAGGATACCTGCGAGCAGGGCAACAACACCACGCTGATCGCGGAGAACGGGCAGGCGGCCGACACGCTCATCGGACAGGGCTTCAGGGTCGGTGAGTTGACGGTGCGAGGCCGAAACAATGCGCTTTATTTATGAGCGGGTATAATTAGGCCGCTGCGATTAACTAACAGCGCTGCTCTGACCTTTGGGTTTATAGTTTTTCCTCTGGAGAGGTGAGGGAGGCCTGTTTGGTTGCTATTCGGTTTTTTTTGTTTTTTTTAATGGAGGTAAATAACACATGTTATGAAAAAAGTTAGTCAGGCAACTCTAACTGTAAATCTAGACATGGTATCATCCATTCAGCAGTACTTCAGACATCATTCTGGGAGAATATAAGTAATTTGATATATGTAGTAAGCCCAGTTTTTATTGTTAGTACAAGGCAGTGGTGGAAAAGGCATTAAGATCAACAACTTCAGCAAAAGTGCAACTTGTGCTCATTACAGGGGAAAGTACTGCATTCAGATCCTAATGTCAGTAATAATAATAATAATAATAATAATAATAGTAGTAGATTTAAAATGCAGAATGACCCTTTCAGTGTCTTTCTGTATTAAATGGTTGAGAAAGTGAAGTTTGTCCAGGTAACACCTAATATGAATAGATACTTAAATCTGTGACAAAGCTACATATTACATGGTCTTACCATATGTTTCATATATATAAAACATTTACCTGCAAAGTAACTAGTCTCTGCAGCTGTCAGATCACTTAAGTGTAGTTTTAAAAAGTTTAAATTTGACCTCCATAGTGTAGAGGAGTGAAGTAAAAAGTCTTAAAATTGAAATAATTGAAGATTGAAGTACAAATACTGTGCCACAAAATGATACTTAAGTACAGAACACGACTAAATGCCTTTTGTTTATTTTCTACCTCTCTGTA